AGAATGTTTTTCTGTCTTTGATAAGTGCGCCTGAATATCCCAAACCTTTACTTGGATTTAAAACATAAATAATTTAATTGAATTGTTCACCGCGTGGGTGCGGGGTAATATGTCCAAACAAGTTCTGAGTAAGCTTTTTTTCTTTCAGAGATTTTGGTTTAATTTTTCGTTTCATGTGTTTCGGAATATATCTTTGTCATTGTCAGTCAATCGATTGTGTGCTTATTCGAATCCATTGTGCGACCCGGATAGAGTTTTCATGTCAGATTTTTTTTCGTACCCAAGAATAATGTCTGGCTTGTGTACGCTTTGGAATTTTTGGTAGTTAATTGAGGCTCCCGAGTCTCCTAAATTATTAATTTAAAGTAACATTGTAATTGTAATAAATAATTTTGATTTGTTTGAGCTAGCTGGACAGGTGTTTGGTGGGTAGCCAAAGCGAAAAATTTTTTGCCCTTGGCTTATTTGAACAAAGACGTTTTCATTCTTTTCTGTGCCTCCTTGAATAAGGGTGTACAAAAAGTAGGAGTGCATACACAAAAAGGGCATAATTTACCGTGTAAGTTTGCACGTACATTCATTGTAAAAATTTCAATACTGGCTCATACAACGTGGAGTTAGAGCACCAATCAGCACAAAACGAACTAGTTCACAATGACTTCACTAAAAGTAAGATCGAAATCTTGGAAGAACTGAGCCGAAAAAAAGTTGTAACGGTTTAGAGAATTAGGACCAAAGTTACAGGTACCTTCATTGCTACCCCCAACCTCATACTTACATTCATTTTTATACATTGAAAGTGAGACCGTATGTTCCGCAACAAATGCGATGTTACAAATGTCAACGTTTCGGACACACAACTCTAAAATGTGAGAATAAAAAACAATAATAATAATAAATCCAAATTATGTTCATATCCATGTCGTTTATACAAGGGACAAATTGAATTATTTTAATTTCCCCTTATATCACACAATACAGTCGCCTATTAGTGACCGAAATACGGCACGGTTTCGAATTTAACCGAGAATTAACGTGTACAAGTAAAATTACATCGGAAATCCTGTAGAACAGACATGCGAAAATAAGATAAAGGAGAGCTTTAGCATACCAAAGCCCTTCATTAATTCGTACAATAGCGATACTCTTAATTGCATGTAACATCAGATCTCGCACGATTGAGTTATCTGAAAACGCCCATCCCAGTACCCCTCCCAATTAACACGCACGATTGAAATTTGATTAGGTTGCGCTTTAAATCCAGCGCCCTTTGCGTTTCTCGTGACATCTGAGAAATTATCATTTTGGTACTAATAAACAAACGATCTCTGCGACCCCCCTCCAGTTCCGCGGAGAAAGCTCTTAGTGGAGATTATAATTTACAAACGATTCGCGGAGTAAATAAATAATGCTCTTGTAGACTACTAATTGCTCGTCCCATTAATTAATTGTAATAATGAAATATGCGGTGGAGATTTGGAATTTTTTCATTAGACTCGCGGGCGAATTGAATTTTGCAATGAAAATCGCCGACGGTAAAGGCAGATTACCGCGTTAATAATTTCTTAAAAGGTGCTCAGATTAAATTTTGAAATTACCTTAAGAAATTGTAATTAATTTTGTTTCGGTCGGTACGCTACAAGTTTATCGATTCATGTACGCCCGCCAGTTGGCGGCGAGGTACTTTAATTAGATTGCGATGGCAAATCTTTTTAGTCGAATCCAATTGGAAAATATTGGATGTTCGTCCCGGTTCATAAAAAAAGGGGAATATCTAAGGGAAGCCTATAAAAAAATGCAGAGTAGTTAGGGTTATCGCAGATCGATATCTTATGAGAAAATATAAAACTGAATTATCCTATATGTTGGCAAAAGGAATATTTAAAATTTTTTTCTTTAAAGCCGATATCACGTTTACTATACGAACGTCACCGTGCTGGAACATGTAACGGGCCCATCGTTACAAAAAAACTCGAATTTGTTTAATATATTAATTTTAAATTGGCGTTCTACTGATTTTCTATGTACTCACGACTAGCTCAATCGGTTCAATATTTTTCTCTTTTAGTTAACGTAATTGATTTGGTATAATAATTTAAAATTTAAAAAAGATTCTACGGTACCCCTAAGATAACACTTCCTCTGAATACAGACCAAATACCTTCCCATTTTTTTGTCCTAATTCGATGTTGCATTGACTTCCATAGATTTTCCTTAAGTTGAATCCTGGGAACATGCATTGCACTGTTTTCAAAAGTAAAATAACACCCGCACTATGAATTTATAAGGGTTGTATAATTAACTCAGCCAGAGTCTATAGTCGAATTTCGTCAAAAAATATCTTCGCCGTTCCTTCACGTTTCTAGACTGACACTCCTCATGACACGAACTACCCATCCAATGAAATTTGTTGGCAGCTATAACTTAGATCCACGTTGACCACTTTTCACCTATTCGGCAGAATCCGCGCTTTTAATTATAGTGCAAAAAAAAGCAGATAACAGCGGTTGCAATATCCCACGACTCTAAAACGCCTTATCCTTTCAACGCAGAACTAAAAAGTCAGGACCGTACTTAAGACCCCCCGGCCAGGTAACACAACCAAAATTTTAAACGCCTTTAGACGCCTCAGCATCTGTCAATGATAAGCTATCCAATTTCTTTTCCTGGGGGTCTGGGGCCAAGGAAGACTTTTCTCCATTAGATTTAGCATTCTCGTGGGAATATACTCGAATCTCTACATTAAAGGAAGACACTCTTCCATCACCTTCCATCCTAATGTTAGTTTTCGGAGAAATATAACCCAATCTCTGTGAAAAAGCCTAGGGAGGGAGGGGGGGGGGGGGTTATTCCATGCCCCCCAGACCCTCATATGCTAAGATCTATAACGAAATACCTACTTACATAACGGGGAATGAACGCATTCTTACCTTGAAATATGAGAATTGGAGAATATTGCATGATTTTTCTAAACATTTTCGGTTTGATATATAAGCAAATTGAAGCGTGTTCAATGGAGTTCCAACATCGTTGTCGAAGTGATTATGAGTGAAGTTTGCGTTCGTATGTGATACATTTACTTGTTATAAGTTTGTGTACAAGACTGTTATAAATTCATTAATAATTAATATAATCAATAAATTCAGGAGTGTTGTCTGTCTAATAATTGAACAAGTACAGTGTAGAAAATAAAAAGCCATCACAGATTACCTTCTAATAAATAGCAATCATAGGAGGAATGTATTGAAAAAAGGATCAAACAGTATCAGTCATTTCTCATGGTCGAATAATAAAGGACAAAATAGAATGAAAAAAGGATACGCGCAAATGAGTTAGATAAAGAATCCGATTAAAATAGAGGAAATTGTAGATATGGTAAAAAGAATGAAGCATGAAAAAACAGAAGGCTAGGAGAGCTCTTCCAACGTTCTTAGTACCGTTTACCCACGTTCTTCCAATGCGTGGAAACTCTACAAAGACCTGTAGACAGACTAAAACTGGGAGACTCGTTGAGCGATTTATTGCTGTAAAAAGCCATTAAACCCTTAAAGTTTTTCTAATACCCTCAAGAACACCCTATAAATCTCGAAAACTCTAACCGGACATAGAAGGTTCTCGAAAAACCACATAATGCCTTAGACAAATCTACAAAGTGCGTAGAAAGTAGCGACGAAACCTCTGTAAAAGAATGCTGAAAAGCGCTATCATGCTCTAGAAGCCTATGGAGCTCTTGAAATCCCACTGCAAGGTTATGGAAAGACATTACTATTTTCGAGATTCCGTTTAAGAGGACCGAAATACCTACAACGCCATCCATGCTTTTTGAGGATTTTGATATTTTATTTTTACCTTTATTTTTGAGTGGGAGGGGTTTCAGCCGAACCCGGATTCGAACCAGGGACCCTTAGTATCGCAGCCGAGCTTCAACTCAACTGCACCACATCGGCCGGCAAACTATTATTTAGGCTTTGTGTGGTAATTTAAGAAGTTTTCACAAAAAAACCGAGTCAGTATATACTTGAACAGTTTGTGAATGATAAGTTCGAGTAGATGTGTTTTTGTGTGAACTTGTTGACAATGTTTGTCGGTAATACAATTTATCTTCTCTAAATTGCTTGCAGTTTTCCTTGGGTTTTGAAGGGGCGCGATCGTGATTTTCTTAAGAAATCACCATTATTCTTTAGTGGAAGTGTGATAAACTGCGCCCAAGCTTTCCGTCTTTCTCTTGTGCTTATATTAAAGATAACGAGGCCATATACTTCTCTTATTTTACACCGCGGGTTTATCTAAATTATTAACGAAATCTTTTTCTTCGTGTTTTGCTCAGCATTTTTTTTATTTTTGTATTAAACCAAATCTTTTTACAAAATCGTTCATTATAAACATAGGGATATAATTACAAACTGCTCCTATTTTCCAGTGTAAAATCCAATTTTGAGAAAAAAAAGGCATGAATTCCTAGCAAAAAACAAATAAACCCTTAAAGAGCGTTTAAAAAAGCGGCAGAGCACCTCGGTGTGATCCCACTGAGTCATTGGATTTACCCTATTTTCAATAGGCTTATTACATGTGGCATATAGGTCAACTGTGCAAAGTTTGAACTAAATAGGTTCAAGCGTTTGGCAGAGACAGAGAGACGTGACCCCAAGGGGTCATTGGATTTGACCCATTTTCAATAGCCTTATTACTTGTGGCATATAGGTCAGTTATGCAAAGTTTGAACCAAATCGGTCCAAGCGTTTGACAGTTATCGTGTTCACGGACAGACGGACACCATCGACTCCCCTATAAAGCTTGCATCGCTTTGCTCTGCCGCTTAATAAATTTTATTTTTTATTATACCTGAATCACAACCTCCGTTTTAAACACTCAAATGCCTGCGAAAAAAGCCCTTTTTAATTTAGGCTGGTGGTTAAACCGGGACTGACTGAAAAATAACATTTACTTTACGTCGAACCCCATGTTTTTTTTTAAGGTTTAATTCTTAAACTTTGTTTCAGTACCAATGACGACTAGTGATGGACTCCGCTTTCTTTTCACTAATGCTACTGTCGATGGTTCTACTCTATCACGTAGCATGTATAAGCGCAAAAAGTTCCGTCAAAAGGGTAAGCATACTTTAATCAGCGTTTTCCATGAAATTCGTGTCCTTCATACTAATACTGCTTCATGTTCACACCCTTTAAGACATGGTTTGAGTAAAGTTTGAATTAACTAGTTGGGAGTATCATAAGATAAGAAGAATCCTAATTTAATTTATCAAATTCTTGTTTGTGCTTCTCCAATTTTATGTAATTGGTGTTAAAATGCATGTGTATTTACGAGTCCAGTAAATTTAGAGTCCTGTGTAATTTGGGCAAGCCAAGCGTGTGACTTGTGGATTGTGAAAATAAATGCAATTAATTTGTGTTTGTAAATCCAGCTTTTGCGGCCTTAATTTGACGTCATTTTCAACGACGAATAGTGGGGTGACAGTCTCATTTATTTTTTCAAGCGTTGGCCCTGAAGTACTGCGTAACATTTCAGCGTTTTGTTTTTTTTTTCATACTGGCGACCAACGGGTAGTTCACACAGCAATATATAAATTAAAATTGAGTAAAATAACTTTGATTTTCATGTGTTATGGGTTTTTAGAGGTTCTTGAAATGTGTGAGTCCCCTCAGTAATAACCTGATTCTTTTATTTTAAATATTGCTTGAAATGCAATAATCGATGGTTGTTACAACATGCCCTACAAAATTGTTGACAGCTAAATATCGGTATATACTAATATACCTAATTGATAGTCGGTCAAACACAAAATCTGATACGGAAAACCTACCTCTATTAAAAATGGATTGTGCCCACCAGCTTCAGGTTAGGTATATATCGTATGCAATTAGAGTAATGGCAAACTGATTTTATTTCATCTTTTTAGGGCAACAAAAGTACTCGCGCAAATTTAACAAATTAACGTGATGAAAGTTGGTTGCCGAGTGTATGCTTGACAAACAAAATCGACTCCGCTTCACATTTTTCATTTTCGCCGGCATGAAACGCAAATGTTTATATATGCAATCGCGAAACCACAATTTTAAAAGAGACTAAAACGCGCCGCCATCGATTTTTTTGTGTTTGTATACCTTATAGGCGAGCTTTCATATCCGAACTTTTGATAAACGCACGCGTCCCTTTAATTGTTTTAATTTTCCTAGAGCGAAAATGGCGATAGTTTATTACGGTGTGCAACTCTTTTCAGGGCTTCTTAGATAAGTAAGTGGTTACTGGTCACCAGTATAATTATCAAGCTTTTAACAATATTTATCACAAATCAATACAATTTAGTAAAAGGATGTTGGATAACAGTATCCCTAGCAGGGACCCGGACCGGACCGAAAAAGAACCGAAAACCGGACCGAAACCGGTATTTTTTTCAGGACCGAAAACCGAACCGAATCCCTTATTCCTTTAGAAATGGAAAGCTATTGAGAACCGCAACCCTTCTTATTTTTTTCGGGTCTTTTCGAATTTTTACGGTTGTTAACAGGTTATTTGAAGTTGAACGACGCGCCACCAAACACGGCCTGAAAATTGATAAAATATTACTGTCTGATTGCCATCGGTGGATTATAAATTTTTAATAAGGTGTTGAAATTGAAGGCAGTACGGAGGGTGGTGGCGATAATTTAGCCACTACTGTAAATGTAAATAATAAAAGGAGGAGCGAGGCTTTAGAAAAAGAAATCAATAATCCATATATAATTTTTTTACATAAGTTTTTGTGTATTTTTTCTGTTTTTTGTTAATAAATTAAGTTTAAATACATATTTCTGTTTTTCTCCTTTATTCCCCTTGTCGTTGTAAATTAGCCTCACTGACTATATGTCACGTTTTGGTACTCACGACTTTTTACTTCTTTTTCACACTTAATTAATCACTTTGTTGGAATGAATTTCTTGAAAGCCATACTTTCTAAACGACTAGAACCGAAAAGAACCTTTATGGAACCAAAAAAATGTGAATAACTAACCGTTATCTTTTTAGAACCGAGCCGGACCGGAACCATTATAAATATTTTCACTTAAACATAATCAGAACCGGAACCGATACTTCATTGGGCACCGGGTCCCTGATCCCTAGTAAAGTCCATTGAATTGTGGCACCGGAAAAGCCTGCACACTTCGTGCCGAAAGAACCTTAGCATAAACTGAACATCTCACTTTCACAAAACTAGTATTACGAAAATTCGCAAAATGCGTTTAGTAGCAAGTCCTGCAAATCTTTACCTTTGAAAAAAATTCTGAAGAACCCCCTTCAGGGTTGCCTTTACAGGTGTGTCTGGAAAGTATGGGACAACGTACATCTTAGTAGGACATCCTGTATCCGCCCTAAGATATTTTTTGTATTTATATTTCGCTCCCAAAATTATTCGCAAGGGGATAATTTTCACCTATTCTAGGACAATTTGGCACTCGGATAATTAACTTACGGAGAAATAGCAAGGGAGGTCTAAAAGTATGGATACAGTGCGTACATTTTCAAATATCGAGCATACATATAAAATTCCTATGTTCAATATTCTAAAATATACCTACATGTAACATGTCTGACAGTTATGCAACCAACCTTACACAAAAATTTAACAATTTTTTAAACAATTATGTGCATTAACCTAGCAGAGCAAGGTCAGCAGAACACAATCAAACATATTGCATAATTAGGTGCTAATCAGGTGCTAATTAAAAGCCCTGTCCCCAAATTAAATGCTCCTCGGGATAGGGCACTTAATTAGCACCTAATTAGCACCTAGTTATAGTTAGTTCACTTTTCATTTTCTTGGTTTTTTTAGTTAGTGTTCTGCCGAGTTCATATGAACCTGGCAAAACATGTAATAATTTAAAGAAAAGGAGCATTTAATTCGGGAATAGGGCACTTAATTAGCACCTAATTAGCGCCTAATTATGCGATATGTTTGATTGTGTTCTGCTGACCTTGCTCTGCTAGGTTCATGGATATTAAACAATTAAAGTTATTTTAGATACGTATTCGGCCGATTTGTTTAGCAGATTCGATTTATTAACCATGAAACTGACGGACGAACGAACATGCGCACGGACAGACAGGCGGACAGACAGAAAACTGTACCAAATTATAAACGATCTCGACGATCGTTAATAAATAACTCAGATATGGACGTTCATTGCATAGCATTTGCTATGAAAGTAGGAAAGATTGGTTGCATATCTTAAGGGGTATTTGACCTGTATGTTTAATAATTAAACATAGGATATTATTGTATGTTTAGAGTTAAAATTTACGCACCCTATACTCATTGTACGTATCCACTTTATGCAACAACGTTTCACGTAAAAGTTATGAGTTTGGATTGTTTCAAATTTATATAAAATCCCAAGTATAAGTTCACTTTTTTTTAATTACGGGATACAAATGTGCAGAAAATTCCCCCACGGAAAACTTGCACCGGTAAATTCGCCCCCAACAGATTCTCCTCCAAGAAGATTCGCAACCGGGGGATGCACCTTCCCAAAATTCGCCCTCGGAACATTCTCCCCCAGAAAATTCGCGCGTCTTCAGAATTTTCAACCCCCAAGAAACCTCACTCTTGCAGTGTTTGGTCCCAGAAGATTCGCCCTCTGAAAGTTTTCCGCCAGTATCCTCACCAGGGACTTCTCCATACCGTCTTGACCTTTACAAAATCAACTTCACTACCATAGATGCTACCCCGGCTTAATTACCTAACCCGCACCCCTGGTTAAAAATAAGGGTGAAAGTTGATTTTTATGAGCGCATTTTTAAGTTTGTTTTCTAAATTTACAGGCATAGATCTCCTGGGGTCGATTGTGCCAGGGGTAAATTTACCTGTGGACGTATTTTCATGGCGGATAATTTTCAGGGAGTGATTTTACCGGAGAGAATTTTTTGGGACAATCGAAAGTCTCATTAAAGAACTTATATTACAAAATAGTACAACAAACGTAAAGCGGCCTCCTAAATTTAAACGACCTTAGATGGAACTTTACTCGTTACCAAGGTCGTTACTGATTGTTTTGTTCTGTGTACAGGGTGGTGCAAATTCGCGGTTAATCCTTGGGATCTCCTTAACGGGGAGAGGTTAAATTGGAGGGGGGAGGTCAAATTTCCCCTTTTTTATGACTGAAAAAAACGCATTTAAAAGTCTTTTTAAATAACTGAGATATCACTGAGAAACTTTTCGCACTTAAGGAGTACGTGCTTACTCTTTTAAAGCAGACACGGCCTAACCAAATATCTCAAATTGCAAACCTTTTATTGCAAATACACGCGTTGGTATCGCCTTTTATTTCCAGGCGTAATTTTATTCCTGTTCGCTATAAAAGCGGTACATGTGTAAATTTTCCAAAATATAAATTTCAAAATTCAAAGAACGGCCAAAGCGACCATCCGTTACCAACTAGTGTTGCTGATCCGTTTAGACGAAACATCTATTATAAAATTTTACTGACTTCTAATGAGGTTATTTATTCAGCGGTAGCTCTTTTATTTAATTATTCCACCCACTTTTCCGTTTTCTCCTGAAAATCAAATTTTTTTACCAAACTTTTAACTTCCTTGTTTTGGTAGTAGACAATAATAAATACACAGTTAAGGAAATAGAAATTTGCCTTTTTTCGAAAAAGATACACCTTACGACTAATAAATTGGAACCCCATTCACAAGGAAATTCTAGCTGACAAAATGAAATCGAAACTTAAAATGGAAATTAGATAAAAGCCACTAATTCCATGCATATGTGACTTTAATAATAAAGTTACACAGATTGGTAACCCTTTTTTTAGGTCTCACAGAAAAATCTCTTTGATTATCAACATTTAAATTGACTTCTTACTCCAATCTCCCTAAATGGTGCTTTATTAACTAAAACGGCCATCTTTAATCATTGATTTGTTTGCTCCGTTTTGTGATTATCAAACAAAATTTGTTTCATAGGTTATCATAAACCTAACTAACTAATGCACTACATATCTTGAGCATATGTCTACATTACAAATTAAGGATATTTGTGGCCGCTAGATGGCGTTTTCGGTTACAGTTGATTTTGGCTTATTTTGTTAAAACATTATTTATGTTT